CATATGCCCAGTCACAAGGCTCGTTTCAGGAAATGCTCACTGCATATAAGGTTAGCACAGAACATAGTACTGAGCCTGTGGGCCTCCCCAACTGTGAGTTTTGCGTTAACAAACTTCTGCTCTTTTTCAACATAAAGCTTTGAATGTTTCCTACAGTATCAAATCTCTGCAGGCTTTTTCCTTCTGAAACTTACATGAAAATCTGAGTAACAGAGTATGACATACTAAGACCATGACAAGATACCTATTGCTGCATTCTAAATTTGATCAGAACATCTGTTTTTAGGAATCTAAAGTAGTTGCTTAAAACTCAGCTTTCTTTTTTCCTCTTTTTAAAGCAATTTTCTTTTAGAGACGTGTCATAACAAGAATAAATATTACATAAACTTAAAAATACAGAGGAAGGGCCGGCCCGGTGGCGCACTGGATAGGTGCGTCGCTTGGGAAGCGCGGCGGCGCTCCCGCCCGAGGGTTCAGATCCCACATACAGACCGGTTCCCGCTCACTGGCTGAGCAAGGCGCGGGAGCAACGCAGAGGGCTGCGATCCCGTTGCTGGTCCCTGGTCCGGTACAGGGGCAACACTGAGGGTTGCGATCCGTTCCCGGACACGGAAAAAGACAAAAGACAAAAAAAAAAAAAAATACAGAGGAAAATCTCTCAGAACACTTTGAAACCTGTTTTGGTCCCATTATTGCATTGAATGCTCCCCAGTCTGATTAAGAATAATTAGATTTTGTTACTTGAAACATCTTTTGGTGGCATTCCTGCTGGAGACAGTAAGCTAGTGCTGTAGGACCTGCTTAGTCTTCCAGGGTCCAGCATTGTTTCAGATCAGATAATAAGAACAGGATGCTCAAGAGCTGATCCAAATAATGCTTTATGTTTCATTTTTTCCTGTTTTTCATTTATTTATTTATTTTATTTATTTATTTATTTAAAAAGATGACCGGGAAGGGGATCTTAACCCTTCACTTGGTGTTGTCAGCACCACGCTCACCCAGTGAGCAAACCGGCCATCCATATATGGGATCTGAACCCGTGGCCTTGGTGTCATCAGCACCACACTCTCCCGAGTGAGCCACAGGCTGGCTCTCATTTTTCCTGTTTGTTGATAATGATCCATCAAAGTGTTTTTTGATCATACTATGGAAAAATAAAAACAAAAACACATTGATTTGGAGCTTGTGCATTGAAAAGTAGTAATAGCTGGAACTGAGTGGCACCTGAGTGGGTGTATGTGTAAACATAAAAGTATGTGTAAAAGTGTATGTAAATGTATATGGGGTACCCACTACCATCACCACATGGTCACCACCAACAAAACCACTACCACCATTCACTAAATTTACATCATCTAATTTTCTTATTAAGGTGCCTTATAAATAACTCAGAATCTCTCAAATAAAAATTCTTTTTCAGGGCCGGCCCCGTGGCCTACTTGGGAGAGTGCAGCGCTTGGGAGCGCAGCGGCGCTCCCGCCACGGGTTCGGATCCTATATAAGGATGGCCGGTGCGCTCACTGGGTGAGCGCAGTGCGGACGACACCATGCCAAGGGTGCATCCTCTTACCGGTCACAAAAAAAAGGACAAAAAAAAATTCTTTTTCAGGAAACACATTTTCAGGGCTACTTGATCTGTGTGTCTCCCCGGTTGCAGTCATCATATTGGCTCAATAAATCCTTGCTATTTGTATTTAGTCTTAGTTTCTTTTTAGGTCAACAGAAGTGACCACTCACATCAGCTCAGGGTATACTAGCATAACAATAGATGCTTCCTTCTGAAGCCCTGCCTTTTTTTTTTTTTTTTTTTCTCACAGAACTCAGATGAAACCCTATTGCCCTCAGAGAGGGTGTTTCAAGTATACTAATTGTCGGGTGGTAGGTTTGAAAAAAAAAATCTTTTTCTCTTCACAAGTGGCACAATGCTAGTAGTCAATTTCAGACCTGCCCTGAGGAAGAACCAAGCAGCTTCATTGCTTCAATGAAGCTATCCATGATTGTGGAAAAAGTGAATTAGTTCATTCTTTCTGTCTAGATAGTCGCAACATTATCTTCGGCTCCCACTAGTTAGGTCCACAATTTCATTATTATCCACTGGCCTGGAGTTTGGTGCGTATAGCAAGTGGTAAAGCCTATCACTGTCAACATGCAGAACACTTCCGTAGATCTCTTTCACGTCTCATTTGATCCAGCAACATCTGTATGCTAGGGTAGGATGGAATAATAAACTAAATGTATAGCTAAAACCGTCTAAACCTCTGACATTATTTGGTGGGAAGGGAAACGGGAAAAAAGAAATAACAGAGTTATATCAACTCTTGGAATGATTTCTACTGATAATTTTAGTGTAAATTCCATTAGAGATTTTTCCTCCAGTCCATGAGGGCTGAGTTCTAGGGATACTTTGGAAGTCAGATTCATGAACAGATGTCTCCAACATAAATCGCTTTAGCGCTGCTTCGGTTCTTGTACGAAAAGGCCACAACTGGATACTGGTTTTTATCCTGGGATCTCTTAACATGAAGTCCAGGCAGTCTGGGGGGACTGAGGGAGGAATGTGTCAGAGTGGTCTCCAGGTGCAGGGACAAGTATTTGGGTTTCTTTTACTGATCTTCTAAACAGCCCAGCACACTTTTTACACATTAGTTCTTGAGAGAGGCAGGAATCAGTACTGCTTATTTTTTAGAGAAATATTAAGATTATAGAGTTCAATGAAGATTGCATGGTCATGCATTCCTTTAAACTGCTAGCATTTAGTAGATGTGAATATACTGAACGCCTCAATGCCTTGGTCAGATAGCTCCAGTTTGCATACTGTGCTTTATCTAGATTCACTGAGAAGAAATGTCCCAACCTAAACAGAATTCTAAAGTAGGTTTCATCTTTTTCACATGATGACCTTTGGGTAACACTTCCATTAAAGTGGAAACAAATCCTTTTTCAGAGTGGGAATTATGCTTATTTTAGTGGGGAAACTCTTGAGATTATATAGCTATATATGACTGAGTGCTCTATGGTTGCTATTTTGTTGCTCTTGGCCAGGAAATTGATCCAGGTCACAGGTGCTTAATCCATCCTTCTGTAAACTGGCCACTTCACACCACCAAGATACTAAAGCAAAGAATATATACTACAATGGATTTTATGTCTTGTCTAATTTAGGAACCACTGGCCAATGATTAGATTTTGTATTTTTAATGTAGGCTAGTGGTTAGAAAAGCATGAACCCTTGAGGCTGCCTAGGTATGTATCCCTGTTCAGCCACTTTCTAGTAGTATCACTTCTTTCTTTCCTTTATTTATTTTTATTTTTTGGTGGCTGACAGGGATAGAACCATGGACCTTGGTGTTATCAGCACCATACTGTAATTCTTTCTAAACCTCAGTATTCTTATTTGTAAAGTAGGGATAGTATTTTATCTTTATATGGTTGTTTTGAGGATTACTTTGTATATGTAAAGTACTTAGAACAGTGCTTGGCACAAAGGAAGCCCTTAATAGATGTTGGCTTAAAAACAGTTAGGTATGCCCTAGCCAGTTTTAAATAGCTATAGGTATTGTTTTAACTGTACCTACTGTTTGTGCTTTACACTATACTGTATATTATTGTTCAAAGCTAGAGTGAGGATGAACCGCATAAGCAGGGTTTCATAGCCTTTTAAGATTCCAATACCAAACTTTGATCAAGGGTAGAGGTTGCCTGTGCCATCCAGTTAGCTGTGCTGCCTCCAAGTTTGGCGGCCTGGTCCTTTGTTGGGTAAAAGCTTGACTACTCAGTGAAGCCACAACCATGTTATTTTTGTCCTTGAGAGGCTGAAAGTAGTAGAGGTCTAGACCTACCAGGTAGTCAGTCCAGCGCTGCCGCCAACTGTCAGCAGAACTGAAATACAAAGTCTGATGTTTGTGCACACTGTATCCATTGGCTGTCTGGTCCCAACTCCCATTGCTCCTATGTCTTGATTTTTCCAGTCTCAATTTCATTATTTTTAATATAGATGATTTGTTAAATGGAAACTGATTTAAACTTCTTGTTTAGACTTTTCTAAAAACTAAAGTTACAAATCAGAAAAACTGTTTTTGACATATTTTTGGTTGGGAAAATCTGAAAGTGGTTTCTAGGCCTAGCCTGATCATATAAATTCTCTCCCCATGTATCTTTTACTAAATCAAAATAACCATTCCCACTTTATAAGATCCTTCCCATATCTTAACACTTTCCCTGGAGTGATTTTGTTTTTTTTTTTAAGAGGGTTATTTATGACTTCTCAGGAGGGAACCTGGTGGGTGCCCACTATCCCTTTTCCAACTTTTTGGTTGGCAATGGACAACCTTCTCTTTATCAACTTGTTCACACCTCAGGAACTAAAACTCAAGTTGAAAGGAAATTATTTAATTGGGAGCCAATGACACAAGAGTAGCAAGAGGGAAGAGATAATTAGTCCAGTGTAGGAAGACCAAAAGAATGGCGATATTTCACAATTACTATATTGACCATTTAACTTGGAGTTTTTCTCTCTATAAACTGGGTATTTGCTGAGCAAGTTTGAAGAAAACTCCATGTATTCAGTCATGCTTCTCCAAACCCCATTTCTAAAAAAGCCAGTGACTTAGAGTGTTTGCTTTAATTTCTACTTTGTTTTAAACACATGTGAGATTTCTTTAAGTTCAAACACCAATGTGCAACATTAGTAACTTTGCCCTTTAGCGACCTCTACCATCACCCAATCATTAATGATCCAAGTTTTTAAGTGACTAGAATGGATGGCTGTGTGTTTGTAGGTTGGTTGTTATTTTACATGAACAAATTCTCACTGAATGGAATTAACTGTGCTCTTCTGTAACACTGGATCTATGTTCGCCTTCAGATTTTGTTTTATAATCTCCCCTCTCCTCAACATCTACAAAGGGAAAAGGTGAGAATTAACTTATATGGTATCTGCCATTTAAAAACCATCTTAACCATGCACGGTCTCTCTCCTTCCTTTTTTGTTTTAAACACAGGACATGGATTTGATTGACATACTTTGGAGGCAAGATATAGATCTTGGGGTAAGTCGAGAAGTATTTGACTTCAGTCAGCGGCAGAAGGAGTATGAGCTGGAAAAACAGAAAAAACTTGAAAAGGAAAGACAAGAACAACTCCAAAAGGAGCAAGAGAAAGCCTTTTTTGCTCAGTTACAACTAGATGAAGAGACAGGTGAATTCCTCCCAATTCAGCCAGCCCAACACATCCAGTCAGAAACCAGTGGATCAGCCAACTACTCCCAGGTACAGAGTACTCAGTTCTTGGAAAAGTGTATGGCAAGGCTTAAGAAAACTTTGACTGAAAAATGAAAACCTATGGATTTGAGTTCCAGCTTTGCCTTTTATAGCAAATCTTTCCATAAACTTTTTTTATACGAATCTTTCCATAAACTTTTTGAAGATCCTTCATATTAACTGATTTTAATCAACACAAGTATATAAATTAGGTACCATTATCCCCATTTTATCTCCAGCTGGGCAGTTGAAGCAAATATGCTTAACAAATTTTCCTAGATCACTCAAGAAATTGGGGGAGCTAAGATTTGAATCCAGGTAGTATGGTTCAACTCTGTGCACCAAACTGATTTCTAAAATAAGACAAATATTTAACTGGATTGTAAACATTTTTGAACATAAATCACGAATCTTTAGTTTGGCAATGCAACATATAACAATTTTTTTCTTCATGTTTTTCCCTTTTATCCAGGTTGCCCACATTCCCAAACCAGATGCTTTGTACTTTGATGACTGCATGCAGCTTTTGGCAGAGACATTCCCATTTGTAGATGACAATGAGGTATAAAACATTTGGTTAACAGCAAAACACAATAGCTATATCAAATATACCCAGTATAAGTCCCCTTAATGTATCTCCATTTAAAAGAAGGAATAAAAAGATTTAGGAAATTTTTTATGAAGGAAATACTTTGTCAAGGAAACCTCAGCCTATAGATAACTTTACAAGAATTAAAAAAAAAAAAAAAAAAAAAAGACGCTCACACAATATTGGTTGATCACCCCTAATTAAAAGTCCAAAATCCAAAACTTTTTGAGTGCCAACATGATACTCAAAGGAAATGCTCACTGGAGCATTTTGGAGTTTGCATTTTCTGATTAGGGATACTCAACCTGTACAAAACCAAAAACCTGTACTACCGCATAACCAGTCACATGGACCAGCATAACCATTGAAACAACTCATTTGTTATAGGGATCTAAAAATTTTGGTGAGTAAAGAGCAAGCTGGGTAATAAACCAAGATTTGTTTATTTAATTTTACTAAATCTATTGAGTTTTGAAGCACTGTACTACATATTTTATATGTATATATATACACACACACACACAAATTAAATCCTAATTGAAGTTTATCTTCAAATGCATAGGATAAAACAAGTCAGTAAAGAGTAAATTTCGAGCAGCTGCGTATGAAAAAGTTTCATTATATACAAATAGGACTTATTCAATAAGTAGAAAAATACAGAACTGCAGCTGATTTGACTTTAATGTGTTTTTTTTTTTTCCCCCTTTTTGTCTTTTTTACTGACCGGTAACGGGATCGCAACCCTCAGTGTCGCGCCCGTACAGGGGACCGGCAACGAGATCGCAACCCTCGGTGTTGCGCCCGCACCACGCTCAGCCAGTGAGCGGAACCGGTCTCCACATGGGATCTGAACCCTCGGCGGGAGTGCCGCCGCGCTCCCTCCAGTGTGCCACCGGGCCGGCCCTTTAATGTGTTTTGATGGTGCTTGCAAGCTTACTCATCCAGTGATGGTGGCAAACTCATATAGATAAATGCCTTGTCAATTTTAGGTTTCTTCGGCTCCATTTCAGTCACTTGTTCCTGATATTCCCAGCCACATTGAGAGCCCAGTCTTCAGTTCTCCCAATCAGGCTCAGTCACCTGAAACTTCTGTTCAGGTGCTTGCTGCTGATTTAGACAATATGCTGCAGGACGTTGAGCAAGTTTGGGAGGAGCTATTATCCATTCCAGAATTACAGGTAACTAAAATCTAATGTAATACTGAAGATGGCTATTTTATATTCAGGGCCTTTAGTCATTCTAATTATCTAATATTTACATGCCACCTACTTATAGGAAGGATTGGAGGGTGCATTTAAATTAAGTCATGAGAGCTGCCCATGCTCACGCAGCATGTACTTTTTGTTAAATGGTCTGGGTGTCTGAGGATAGATTGTTATAAACCTTAAATCTGATATAGGAATTCTTAAAGTAATAAATATGCTTAGGTGTAAATATCTGTTGAGTATGGAACTTATCTCTGAATTATAGAAGAGAACAGCTTGGAGAGAATGGGGGTAAAGAGTGAATTTAATAGCTGATAATATCTGGTTTACCACTGGATATGGATTATCAGATATTAAAAATATTTAACCTTGATTTATATAACATAAACTTCTTTTCCATGCAGTGTCTTAATATTGAAAATGACAAGTTTGTTGAGACTGCCATGGTTCCAAGTCCAGAAGCCAAACTGACAGAAATTGACAACAATTATCATTTCTACTCATCGATCCCCTCACTGGAAAAAGAAGTAGGTAACTGCAGTCCACATTTTCTTAATGCTTTTGAGGATTCCTTCAGCAGCATTCTCTCTACAGAAGACCCCAACCAGTTAGCAGTGAACTCATTAAATTCAGATGCCACAGTAAACACAGATTTTGGTGATGAATTTTATTCTGCTTTCATAGCAGAGCCCAGTATCAGCAACAGCATGCCCTCCTCTGCTACTTTAAGCCAGTCACTCTCTGAACTTCTAAATGGGCCCATTGATGTTTCTGATCTGTCACTGTGTAAAGCTTTCAATCAAAACCACCCTGAAAGCATAGCAGAATTCAATGATTCTGACTCTGGCATTTCACTGAACACAAGTCCCAGCATGGCATCACCAGAACACTCAGTGGAATCTTCCATCTATGGAGACACACCACTTGGCTTCAGTGATTCTGAAATGGAAGAGCTAGATAGTGCCCCTGGAAGTGTCAAACAGAATGGTACTAAAACACAGCCAACACATTCTTCTAAGGATACAGTGCAACCACTGTCACCATCTCGGGGGCATAGTGCTCCAGTGCCTGATGCCCAGTGTGAAAGCACACCAAAGAAAGAATTGCCTGTAAGTCCTGGTCATCGAAAAACCCCATTCACAAAAGACAAACATTCAAGCCGCTTGGAGGCTCATCTCACAAGAGATGAGCTGAGGGCCAAAGCTCTCCATATCCCCTTCCCTGTAGAAAAAATCATTAACCTCCCTGTTGATGACTTCAATGAAATGATGTCCAAGGAGCAGTTCAATGAGGCTCAACTTGCACTTATTCGAGATATACGTAGGAGGGGTAAGAATAAAGTGGCTGCTCAGAATTGCAGAAAAAGAAAACTGGAAAATATAGTAGAGCTAGAGCAAGACTTAGATCATTTAAAAGATGAAAAAGAAAAATTGCTTAAAGAAAAAGGAGAAAATGACAAAAGCCTACATCTACTGAAAAAACAACTCAGCACCTTATATCTCGAAGTCTTCAGCATGCTTCGTGATGAAGATGGAAAACCTTATTCTCCTAGTGAATACTCTCTGCAGCAAACAAGAGATGGCAATGTATTCCTTGTTCCCAAAAGTAAGAAGCCAGATGTTAAGAGAAACTAGATTTGGGAGGATTTGACCTTTTCTGAGCTAGGTTTTTTTTTTTTTTTTTTTTGTACTGTTATACTAAAAGCTCCTACTGTGATGTGAAATGCAGAAATATACTTTATAATTCTATGCAAAATTTTAGCGAAAATTAGAATATACATAATATGAAACTTTAAAAAGCATTAAAGTATCAGTATGTTCAATCACTAGTTTCACTTTAACTGTAAACTTAATTTCTTAGGACACCATTTCAGCTAGTTTCTGTATAAGTGTAAATACTACAAAAACTTTTTATTTATACTGTTCTTATCTCATTTGTTACATTCATAGATTTATATAATACATCTGGCTAAAAGTAAATTGTTGCAAAACTAACCACTATGTACTTTTTTTATAAATACTGTGTGAACAACAAAGAATGGCTTTTTTTATATTAAATTGTTCAGCTGTGGCAAAAAAAAAAAAAAATTAAAGAGCTGGTACTAATAAAGGAGTATTATGACTGTTAAATTATTTCTTCAGGATTCATTTGACTTTCTTCCCACAGTAGTGTTTTCCATAAGACAGTCATCCATTTAACATATTTAGATGTTTTGCATTTTCAGAATGTTTTCTTTGAAAATATAAAAAGCATTTTCTATTAAATTTCTGGCACCAGGGTTATGGAGAAATAAAGCATATGAAGATTTTATCTCTTCTACAACAGCAAGTACATTTCAACCAAGGGAAATGTATACATTGAATATGAAAACATTGATTCATTTATTCATGTCAATACATGTATGCCTGCTATGTGCTAGGTATTGTTTAAAGTATAAAGGACAAAACCCCTCTTGGAACTTAAATTCTAGTTAAAGGGAGATAACAAGCATACTACACTACATTAGAAAGCAAAGGATTGGTTACACCAGTAGAAAGCATCAAAACTGAAAGTAGGGTTGGGAGAGCCTTATTGAAGTGGCAACATTTGAAAGTGTGGGAGAGTAAGTGATTCTGCTAGCTAAGAGCATTGCAGGCAAACAGCAAGTCTAAAGACAGGCTTCTGAGGAAAACTAAGGACAGTACATTTAGTGGAGGGTGAGAGTAAGTCAGGAGAGATGCAGGCAGGTGTTAGGGCCTTCATAAGGACTTCTGCTTAAGTAGGAAGCTATTGGTGGTAGGCAAGAGTAACTAACACCTTGTTTTAAAAAATTCCGGGGTTTTTTTGGCAGCTAGCAGGTACACAGATTGTACCATGGACCTGGATGTTATTAGCACTATGCTAACTGAGCTAACTGGCTAGCCTGGCTTGTGTTTTGTAAAGTCTAGAGGCTAAGGGTGGGAGCAGGGGTACCAACTGGGAGGCTTATGCATTATGGTGGCTTGGTCTATGGTGAAAGGAGGCAGGGGTAGTCAGGAGGTACTGGATTCTGCATGTTTCAAAAGTAGAACTAAAAAGTTTCTAATGGAATGAATGTGGAGTGCAAACAAACAGTCAAGGACTTGAATATCTTTTAAGAACTGAGTTGCTCAGAGATGGAGGAGACTGGATAGAGGGAGAACCAGGTGGGAAAATCAGTTCACTTTTGGACAAATTGAGATCTGGAGGGTACAAAAAGCACCCTCAAAATACTTTGAAATTTCGCCTTTTTAATAAATCCCTCACACAGCATCAACTTAGCGTGTCTTTGTCATGTTTTGCTTTTTTTTTTTTTTATATGAAATAGATGGTGGTTTATATCAATGTCAATGCAGTCGTCCCTCGGTATCTCCAGGGGATTGGTTCCAGGACAGCCTCCATTCCCACCCCCATACCGAAATCCATGGATGCTCAAGTCCCTTATATAAAATGGCATAGTATTTCCATATAACCTATGCACATCCTCTTGCATATTTTATTTATTTATTTTTATTTATTTATTTTTTTCCTTTTTTTGTCTTTTTTTGTGTCCGGCAATGGGATTGCAACCCTCGGTGTTGCGCCCGCACCTCGCTCAGCCAATGAGCGGCCGGTCTGTATGTGGGATCCGAACCCTCGGCGGGAGCGCCGCCAGGCCGGCCCATGTTTTGCTTTTTTAAAGGGTAAATGGGGGCTGGCAAGGTTAGCTCAGAGTGTGATCTGGGTAACACCAGGGTCAAAGGTTCGAATCCCCTAACTGGCCAGCTGCCAGAAAAAAAGTGAGCAAATGGAGATTCATCTTAAAGTGTTTAGAATAAGTAATACATGTGAATTATTCACTGTAGAGTTCCATTAGGAGCAAATGTAGAGGGCCAGTGGCCCTGGAGCCAGACTGCTGCCAATTCCTAGAATGACCTCCAGCACTGCACTTAAGCACTCTCAGGCTTGTTTCCTCATCTGTGATGCACATATAAGTACTGAGTCACTCCACAAAAAGCACTGTGTCTACCTGGTAAGTCCTCTTGTCCAGTCTCTTTAGTGTTCTGTTGGGATGCTTTTTTGGTTACAAGTGAAAAGAAACCAAATTATCTAAGAGAATTTGGCTCAGATAACTGGGAAGCTTGGACTAATGGATCCAGGGACTCAAATGTGAAGACTGTATCCTGAATATTTTTCTCATGTTGTCAAGGAATTTCCTCTGGTGGTAATGGAAGAAAAATCACTTTTTCAACCTCAGAGCACAATCCCAGCTCTTTAAATAAAGTGCCCCCCACTGACAATACTGAGTGGGGATGGTGGCAATAATGTCAGCAGCAGCCCCACCTGGAATTGACTGATACTTTGCTGGAAAGGTGAAGAGCACTGCTGGGCAGACCAAAACAGACTTCAGTCGTCTGCGCTCTTTTGTTAGTCAAATTTCAAAATATTTTGCCTAGTTCATATAACTGACCATAGAACCTTACAGTACCTAAAACATTACATTGAAGTAATAAACATATTGCCATTATGCAGAAGTATAAATTTCAAATGTACCAAATCCTAACTTTACCATGACTTAAAAAAATTCTTTCTCGATCTGCATTTAAGATACTAGAGCTTTATACCTGACAATCCTGATTAGATTTGGCTATTCAACCTTACTTGAATTCAGTTCCTACAAATTCAATTATGTAGTTTAAAATGTATACATTAATATTGTACGTTGAGGTGCTAGTGCCAAGCATATTAGAAATCTCAACTGCATGACAACCTGTTTATATAAAAACCCATTTTCTTGCCAGAATTTCTCAAGCCCATGTTCTTGAGAGGAGGGAGGGCTGGCGACTCAGATGTACTTGCCATACTCATATTTTTTTTTTTTTTCCCCGTGTCCGGCAACGGATCACAACCCTCAGTGTCGCGCCCGTACGGGACCGGCAACGGGATTGCAACCCTCGGTGTTGCGCCCGCCCCTCGCTCAGCCAGTGAGCGGGAACCGGTCTGTATGTGGGATCCGAACCCTCGGCGGCCTGCCACCGCGCTAAGCGGCGCACTGTAGCAGTGTGCCACCGGGCCGGCCCATACTCATATTTCTGATTAAGCCTTAGAATATACACAAAATTCTCATTCCTACTCTAAAGACATTTATCAGGCCAGTTTTTCAGTTGATAGTATTTACTACTACTTGTGAACTAGGGAAATAAAGACTATAAAACTTCAATTCTATGTGAGGAAAAAAACACTAGACATTGGCATTAACTACCTTGTCACCCATTTATTACCAATATTACTATCCTTAGGGATCATGAGGTAGGTTCTATGTTAAGTTCTTAACCCCCATTATCATGTTTAACCTCCATATTTATTGAAGTGTGGATATTATTTATCTTCATTCTATGAAAAATGTTAGTTTTTAACTTGGATAGAATTTAGGTCTAAATGTGATGGGGAGAAAGTTATTTTTGCTAACATTAATGAAAAGTTAACATTTCCCCCAGTATTCTAGGCAACAAAACAATGGTATTTACGGTGCTTGTGACTTTGTTAGTTTAAATCAATCTTTTTGGGGGAGGACTGGCTGGTACAGGGATCACACCTGGGACCTTGGTGTTATCAGCATACCTCGCTCTAACCAACTTGAGCTAACTGGCCAGCCCCAAATCACAAGTTTAATAATACTGTTGCAAATCTCAAAATACCACTTACACGTCACAACTTCAAAGTCAGATGTCAGACCCACCCCTAGAGCTCATTTAATATTTAAAGCACATATTACCTATTCACAAGCTTAGTATCTTGTTAACTTTGACTCTACATACTTCATGTATTTAAAATCCTCAACACTAAGGGGTCCGTCGGCATTACCAATCTGTCAAGGGGACCATAACTACGTTTTGTATTTTAAATTTCTTATTGATAGGCAAAAAAATCAGACTAATAAAACCCTATTAATTCCATTTTCTTCCAGTACCTACTCAATGAAGGCATAAGACAGTTAACTCCAAATAGACAACCAACCAGAATTCTTTTGATATAAGTATATTTTAAAAGATGTAAGCTTACTCAACATTTCTATTTACAGAATACACGGAGTAATATAATTAAAAATGAAAATTACTTGTATTGCACCCTCCAGATAAAGCTGGTTAACATTTGATATTCCTTCATCTGTGAATATTTTAAACATTTGCCTATTAATTAATGGCTATATACATGGATATAATTTAACCATATCTTTAAAAAGCTGTCAACACTCTTGTGCATAACAGTAGTCATCCACATTTACTATTTCTTTACCAATAAATTCTGTAAGCTGATTTCCTAACTAGCTTTCAGAACTGTCCATTTACATGAATGTACAGTTCCATGTGATAAACAGAAATGGTGCATTTTACCTGTTACTTTACTTCTCCCAAACCTTGGCACTGTATATTCAATTCAAATCAACCTAATGTATAACAAGATACCACTTTGGCAAAAGAACACTAATCTTAGAAAATTTAATAGCTGTCTGTAATAGGTACATGACAGATTAAATTTTATCGTTTCCTAAATATTTTGCAGTTTGTTACAATATATTTTCATTTTGAGAAAGTGAAGGTGAGCATATTTTGTTGGAAAAGCCCACTGTTGTCCTGAATTCTCTCAGGACTCAAGTATTAAAATGAAATCATAAGGCAAGCAAGTCTTTAAGTAAGATTAACTGCATAGGATAAGAAACTGCATAAACAATGAAACTAGCGTTTGAACACAAGCAAAATATGTCACAATCCTTTAATAAAAGCTAGAATCCTCACCTGGCTTCAATTCACAAAGTATTTCACTTGAAAATATATTTTAAAAATGTTAAAGATAGAAATCCAAAAACACATGCTACAAACTTTTTTTAAAGCACACGTTTAAATTATCAAAACCCCATCCCACAAAGTTTTTTACTTGAGTTAAACTGCACCAGTGGATTAAAGTTACTTTTATGAATATTTATCCCAACTCATCCTCACTATAAAATTTTGTTCAACCAGTCCACTCACAAGAAACCCAGATTCTTCCAACATCTGGAACCCCCCCCCTTCATCTTTCTTCCAGCTTGTTTCTTTTCACTAATTCACTTGCCTAATTATTCTTTTTTCACAAGAGTTCATAGAATCCTTAGATA